TTTAGCCATTTTTAGGACTGCACTAGTGGCTTTCTGTGCCTTCACTGTCACCACATTTCTCCAGAGCCTTCTCATCAGCAGAGACCAAGTGTCCCCATTACACATGTCCCCATCCTACCTCTGTGAGGCTGTGGCCCTAGGGGTGGCACTCAGCGGGCTCTCACTGTCAGCAGTGCCCTCGCTCAGCATCACATCCCCAAGGTCCCACCACGCAGCAGCTCACAGGGGAACCCCCTGCCTCCGGGGACTGGAAAATATTCCAGCTCATGTGCAACTCAGTGTTTCTCTATCCACACACATAGATTGCGGATAGAGAAACCATCCATAGGAATGTAGATCATGTAGCCCTTCTTCAGGTGGCACACCAGGTTCTGCACCATGTCCACCACCTTGTCCTCGGTGCCTCTGTTCACTAGATCAGGCTTTGTCAGGATTCCTGGGGCATGGGCTGTGTTCACAGTGTTGCCCCATGTCACAGTGTGTGCAGGCCTGTGGGACACCCCTGAACTCCCCAGGCTACTGACACCCAGCTGCTGGAAGGACTGATGCCCTGAGGTTTCCTCCTTGGCATGCACTGCACTGGAGACCACACCAGTATGAATTCTTTCCTTCTCATGGTATTTCCCCTTGGATAGGATTGTTGAAATGATGCCGCCATATACCCCTCAATTTCTCTGATTATGGGTGGTTTTGAAAATAATGCTTTGTGGACTCCCCTTTTATTTTTGCAGGCAAAACAGTTTCACACATAGCCATTTGCTCTCACCCACACACTCCCACACACCCTGGATATCCGCCCTCAAGGGACAATTTCCCCATGTACAGTGTCTGCAGTGGCATTAGCTGGGGATAGAAGTTACAGTGCACCTGAAGTGTGGGTGGTCCTCAAAGAAGGCCCTCTCCCTCTGCAGGGCCTCGGCCAGGCTCAGGCGCTCCTGGATGTCCTGCTGCCCACGGCACTTGACCATCATGTAGCCCTTCTTCAGGTGGCACACCAGGTTCTGCACCACGCCCACCACCTTGTCCTCGGTGCCTCTGTCCACTAGATCAGGCTTTGTCAGGATTCCTGGGGCAGAGGCTTCTGATCAGAGGACACCAGGGGTGGAGGGGAAGGGCAGCTTCTGTTCCAGCCCCACATACCAGGACTTGGGCACACCCTAGCCTGAGGGGAGACAGAGCCCCTTGCTGGAAGTGTTGTGGAGCAGACACAAGACAAAGGGGTGCTGACACAGGAGGAAGCCATGCTGCCTGCCCTAGAGACTCCTCCTGACCTTCTTCCCCAGCTCCTGGCACAGAGGAGCAAACTGTTCCTCCCTGTGTCCTCTGAGGACATGGGCTCTGCTTCATTCTCCCTCGATTCCCATGCCTAGGATGCCCGATCTGCCCCCAACTGCCCTACCTGTGACCTGGTCCTTCTGCAGCAGAAAGTCAGGCATCCAGGCCAACTGTGGCCTTGAAGAGCCAAGCAGAGCTCATGACGTGGCACCTCAGTGGACACCTGAGCTCCTCCTCCTAGATGCAGGTGCCCACCCCCAGTGCCTGCAGAGCCTGGGCCCCAGATCCATTCCTAACTCCTCACCTATGGTCCTGTCTCCTTCGGGATCCATCTCCTGTGCCATGCTCAGTGCCTCTGTGGTGGCGATGTCCACATTGCTGGGGACCACCACCAAGTTGATGGTCGCCTCCCTTGCGATGTACTTCTTGATGAGGCACTTGATCTATGAGAAATGGCACTGTCAAACTCCTGAAAAGAGTGGGAGGAATCACACCATCCCAACCTCACACTCGCTGAGCCCACAGTTAGATGTGAGTCCTTCCTGAGAAGTGAGGATGGAAAAGTGACCCCACCTGCTAAGTCTGAAGGGTGACAAAGTAAATCATGTGCAGCAGTCATACAGCTGAGGGGCCAGGGATGACAGTGAGATCTGAGCTGCTTAAATGTCCCAAGAAACCTCAGATCTGCTGGTCACAGGGACAGCTCGATGCCACAAGTGCTGCCTGGCTCCTTCACTGAACCTGCTTCCATGAACTCAGATTCACCTGCGTGTGTCTCCTGCACACCCGTGCTCTCTCTCCCAGCATGAGCCTCCTCATCACACAGCTGTGTGGATGCACATCACCTTCACAGGTCCACTTCATGAGCCATTGCATAAAGTACAGCAGCCATAATATCTGTCTCCAGTTGTTCCTGTTGGCTTCACTTTCACCATCAAGATTGGGAGCTGATAAACACAGGGTTCTTCAATGCCACCCAAACCCCCCCCCCCCGCACATCCCTCTCTAACACAGCCCTGGACTGGCTCTGCCTTCTGGCAGCACCTCCTGCATGCTATAGCAAGTGTGATGGGCATGTGACATATCACCTGGTGACCAATGTCAGCGGGCTGATTGCCCACAGGTACCCGGGTGATCCCAGGAAGGTCGATGAGAGTGAGATCCGGGACACTGGGGGAGCCAATCTCCAGACTAATGAGCTCGTCCTTGATCCCCAGGCCATCTCCAGTGATGATGTTCTGGGCTGTGGAAAAGGAAAAGGAAAAGCCTAATCCTGAGAAGATGAATGCCCCTCCCCTCGTGGGGTACCTCTCCACAGGAGCTGCAGTGCTGCACGAGCCAGCTTCTGAGATCGGAGCTAGAAGGCTCCTCATGGCACAACTCCACACTGCCCAAACCGTGCCAGCTCGCACAGAGAAAACTGTGGGTGCTGTTCACGGGGACCCTAGCCTTTAGTAGCTCACAGCCAAGCCCAGAGTACCAGGGGCTCCTGTGTCCCTCCTTCCATATGGGATGGCAGTCACAGGAGGAGATGAGTGAACACACACAGGATCCCCCACATTGCAGCAGCAGTTTACCAGGGAAGGGGTCAGCTCCAGCAGGAGGAGCCTCTGCTGTGGGCAGCCTAGTACCCCTTTGCCCAAGGCTCCTTCCCTGTTGGTGCAATGTTTCTTTGGCATCTGGAATATAAATGGAATGAGACAGCAAAGGCAGATGTGGGAGAGTCTGTAATCACCCAAATTCCTGTGCCAGGGAACTGAGATTGGAGCTCAGGGCCAAGTCTCATGGGAAAATGTCCTGTGCAAGGTCCAGAGGGTGGCCGGAGCACTGACCCACCTTTTGTCAGGGCAAAGGGCCGGCCCCGCCAGCCACAGTATGGCCTTGCCACCTCCATCCTGAATGCTGCTGGACAGGAGATGTAGTATCCCATAGGGGGCACTGGACCCCCCCCCCCCGTTATGTGAGCCCTGGAGACGTGTGTGTCCACGCCATGCTGCCTACCCTCTAGGATGCCCATCTTTCCTGCATCTTCACTGCCCCACACCTGACCTGGCCCTTGTGCCGTCTATACTTAGCATATTCATGCAATCGAGGTTAGGTCAGCATCCAGTGGTATGTGCCCACGTGTGATTCTGTGGACCATGAAGCTGCTAGCCTTGCTGCTGAGGACACCCCCTGCACTTTTTACGCACAAATCCCAGAGCTTCCTGGAGTGCGCTCATCATGCCACCCATGGCACACCTATGTTAGCAACGTCTTCCCACACCATCACCTAGGACAGCCTGCACAGAGCGAGCACCGGCATCCAGTTCCTTGAACCACGAGAAATGCACCTGTGAGCCATGGGGCTGTCAGCCAGCTTGTTTTTCAGCTGGATCTGAACAATACAGTTAAATTGAGTCTTGTGCCACCTGAAGACAAACTAATTCCTTT